CGCGTCCCTAGTAATACGCCGCCAATGTTTGTTTCTGTAGGTTGTGGTGAATGATAGTTGGAGCTGAGAGTAATGGAGTCGGTGTCATGCCGGACAAAGTTGAATACCGAGCCGTGTGGTGCTGCTCGCTGACATCATTGTTGGGGGGGGTTGAAGCTTTTTCTTCAGAAGGTGCCAGGTCAGGTGACCAAGGTGGGCGGGGCAGAGATTCGTAGCCACAATCGCAAACAAAAGTCACATTTTCTGCAGCTCGATGTGCAGGTGCATTGTCAGCGAGCAGCACCACACGGCTCGGTGTTCAACTCTGTCCGGCATGACACCGACTCCATTACTCTCGGCTCTTCCTATAATTCACCACGACCTACAGAAACAAACATTGGCGGCGTATTACTAAGATATCCGCCTATAAACCTGCAACATGTCGGCTCCCCAGCACATCGAGATCACGGCGAGGATAAGAACTTATTGGCCTCCCCGCGTACACTTTCCAGTGAGAACCGGTCAGCCATCAAACATTCCAAAGTAAAAGCTCCGCCTCCAGATACATTGTTACATTTTCTTTTCATGTATCCAATAAGGAAGAGTTACAATCTCAGCACTCCACCGATTGTGGTACTACAAGTCCCATGAGACCATGCAAGACTCTGCCTCGGGGCATGACGGGATTTGTGGCATCACAGCCGGAGTGCGCAGGTTACCTATTACTATTCTAAATCCACAAAGTCGGCAATCCGTAGAACGCGATGATGACACGGGAGCGGTCTCCAACCACCAAAAAAATGGGCGTGACTACGTTAGAATGTCTGACCACGTGACCGGTTACACATTCCACCGCTGAAAAAATGGGCGTGATTACATTAGAATGTGTGATCACGTCACTGGTCACACATTCTAACGCAGTCACAATCTGTGATAGAACAGTGGCACCATAAAAAAAAAAAAGAATTCCTAGACAAAGCCAGCACCACATGTGCAAATATCTTTTACTGACTCCCATATAAAAGATGGCCGACGTTTCTGAGACACACCACAGGTTCCCTTCCTGAAGGTAACAAATGAAACGTATCTCCACCTTGACGAATGGGATTTGCGTGTTACTAAAATCTCTGGTTGAATCTCCTCAGAGGCGACACCGACACTAAAAGTTGAAAATCCAAAATGTTAGTTGTCACCAGAGCAGGAATAGAAGGAAGAGTGGGTCCGGTGCCGGCTGATCGGAGAGGAATTGCTTTGGCTTTGTAGATTTACAATCACTTCCTGTTGCATCTTTAGGACAGGAAGTGAAATCTTCCTAACAAAACACAGGCAGCAGCATTTTAACCCTTTCCTTTCTCTATCCAAAATGGGGAAAAATAGTTTTCTTGATGTTGCCGAGGACGCAGGCCGACATTTCTAGGTTTACTTTATTCCGAAGGGCTGATGAGCAGGGGGTAACTCCAGGGGGCTGGTGATTGGTGGGGGCGGAGTTAGCTCC